TTTTTTTTATATAATTTTGTATTTTTTTTGTTTGTTTTCTTAATTTTGTTGTCGTTGCCTACGTCATTATGATGATCACGCCTACACTGCAACTAACTACTCACGCTCTGGAAAACTTATGGGCCGATTGTGGTGGAATGGATCCAATAAGATGGGCCTGACTAGCCTACCTAAGCCTGTATTAACACTATAGCCCAATCTTGGATAACATTCAAGGCTTCAAGCATTGATCCATGAGAATTGAGATGTGATTTGAGTCTGGTATGGGACTTTGAATCCATGTCAACAGCGGGCAGCCAACTAGACAACTACATGGATCCCTTTTTTTTCTTTCTTTCTTTCTTTCTTTTCTTTTTTTAACAGAGGCAAAACCTCAAAATTCTCCCCTATATTAGTAAAAATAGATTTATCTCTTAAAAAAATATAAAATTAAATTGTTTTTAAATTATTAATTAAGATAAATTATTTATTATTTAATATATGCTATTATTATATATCAATTTTTTTATTAAAAAATACTTATGTGACAAATAAATTTTTAACATCTAATGATGTCACACGTTAAATATAATATTTTTTAATTTTAGTTGCACAATAGAAAGCAATCATTTCCCACCTTACATGCATGTCATGTGATTTAAACTCATAACCTCTTACTTTTAATGGAAGAAGATAACTATTGAGTTATTTAAGTCGTTGATACACATTAAATAATTAGTAATTTATCTTAATTAATAATTTAAAAGAACAATTTATTCTTACATTAAAAAAAAAAAAAAGATTTGTTCCTACCCTCTATTTAATGGTAAGATTTGAAGGCTCTTCCTTTCTATAGAGGGTTATTTTTATGAATTTCTTGTTTCTTAGTTTGGATCAGTCAATTCTGCAAGCTAAAAACTATCGGATGGGATATAGTCACCAAGATCAAGTGCTACTCTTAGGAGAGATTAAGCACATGTCCTACAATTTTCCAAAAAAATTTAAATAATTTTTAAAAAATTAAATAATTTAAAAACTACATAATTGTACACATTATTTATAAAAGATTTGTCTACTCTATACCCATAAAACATAAGCTAAACATACATTAAATATATTTTTTTATAATTACTTTACATAAAAAAAATTACAAAAATTAATTTTTATTTTA